GGAGTCCCGAGAAAAAGGAGTTTTTCGGATTCAAAACACTGCTCCAATTAAGTCCCGGTTTTCGATAAAATTCGCTGTAAGTATGCTACGCTTACGCAATTTTTAATATAGCTTTCAAATAATTATAGGAATGTTATTAGGTCCTTAAAATAATTATTTGGGCTATTATTATGAGATATATCGAGTATTATTAATGCTTAATAATACTCAGACTAATTAATCTGTCGCGGTTATCATTAAACTAAACCCTAGTGGTATCGATACTAGGTTTTATCGAAGGAATATCATTTTGAGAGTATCGAAGCGCTGTCCGAGTGCTGAGTCACCACCTAATCAGGTGAGTGCATAGTTACTTTCAACTTACACATAGATATGAAGTATTTAATATAAATTACGTGCTATGTGTGCATATTATCTGAATACTTGCTATCTATGCTGGATGAACGTTTTATACATGTTTTCAAAGATTTAAACTGTATATGTATTTTATATCTACAAAATGTGTTGGGTAAAACATGGGTATATGTAATAGTTGCTGTGTGACAAAATAAAATAATGAGAGGCCTCGTTATAGATGTTATTGATGATCCAGTCATCTAGCGGAGTATAGATGACGACCACGGACTATTCTAGACAGTCCAGTGGAACACTAGCAGGCTCGCAACCTGTAGGTGTTTATTTGAACTGTGTGTTTATTTGAACTGTGTGCTCACCAGATGTACTCCATCCCCCACATGGTTGCCTATTAGGACATTTATTGCTGAGGAATCCCCTTAGCAGTAGTGTCCATCCTGATGATGATCCTTAGTCTAGGTCCCTTATGATAGGTGTTTAGGGACGTAAAGTGAGGATAACGGGAACGGGTAATCGGGTTATTATTGATTGATGAAACTAATAAACTTATTTATTGTGGGTTGAAAACCCTATGTGCTCACCAGGCTCCCAAGCCTGACCCACTCAGTTTTATGCATTACAGGTAGTGGCGCATGAGCATAGGTGTGATGTTTTGGACGAGGGATTACGGATATAGGCCTGTAGATATGAAATAATGTAGTAAGGCTTATATTGTACTGTTTATACTTTTGATCTGTACGAACATGACATCCCGAGTCTTTTAATGATTACATTTCTATGGAAATGCTTTTGATAAATCTTTATCATATTATTGTTTTGGGACAAATTCCGCAAACCTTTTATTAAAAGATAACTCTGATTTTGAAATAAAGTATAAACAAAACCGGTCTTTTTTGGCCTTGATTTTGGGGAAGTCACAACAGATTTCAATGGACTTTATTACTAAGTTACCCAAAACTTCTAGCGGGTTCGACACTATTTGGGTAATAGTCGATAGATTGACTAAGTCCACCCATTTCTTACCAATTAAGGAGAACGACAAGATGGAGATGCTGACTAGAGTTTATCTTAAGGAAATTGTCAGATTACATGGAGTTCCAAATTCTATTATTTTTGACCGAGATAGTAGATTCACTTCACGATTTTGGCAATCTCTACAAAAATCCTTAGGAACACATCTAGATATGAGTACAGCTTACCATCCACAGACTGATGGTCAGAGTGAGAGAACCATTCAGACATTAGAAGACATGCTCCGAGCCTGTGTAATAAACTTTGGAAATGCATGGGATACTCATTTACCATTAATTGAGTTTTCCTACAACAATAGTCATCACACCAACATCAAGGCTGCACCGTTTGAGGCTCTTTATGGATGAAAATGTCGTTCCCCTATATGTTGGGCAGAAGTTGGAGATACACAAATGGCCAGAGAACATACAAGCGATACCTTACGTACTGGACCAGAAATAATCCACGAGACAATAGAAAAGATCGTGAAAATTAAGAATCGATTAAAGGTTGCACGTGATCGTCAAAAGAGCTATGCCGACGTAAGATGTAAGCCTTTAGAATTTCAAGTTGAAGACAGAGTAATGTTGAGGATCTCCCCTTGGAAAGGTGTAATTCGATTCGGGAAGCGAGGCAAACTAAACCCACGGTATATAGGGCCTTTTGAAATTCTAGCAAGAATTGGTTCGATCGCATACCAACTCAAGTTGCCTCAAGAGCTAACTAATGTACATGATGTTTTTCACGTAACAAATCTCAAATGATGTCTATCCGATGACACTCTTTTTGTACCTCTCGACGAGATACAATTCAATACCAAACTCAACTTTGTAGAAGAACCTATCGAGATCATGGATCGAGAAATCAAACGATTAAAGCAAAGTCGTACTCCCATAATGAAAGTTCGATGGAACTCTTTACGAGGACCTGAATTTACTTGGGAATGTGAAGATCAGATGAAAAAAAAATTACCCCCAACTATTTGACAAAATCCCATCCACAAGATAAATTTCGGGACGAAATTATTCTAACGGGGGGAGAATGTAACACCAATCAAAATAGGTCAATAGACAATCACATGTGATTATACCAATAATCTAATGTGATTTTGTAAATTAGTAATGTGATAAACGTAATATGTAGTTCATGATAAATTCTAATACAAATATGAACTTTCTTTACAATATAACTCCAAGTATATGTCCATACGATTCCAAAGATACAGAGAACGTTTGAATCTGACTTCGCATAAGGAAGTTGTGATAAACCGAACACTATATATCTCTATAATAATAGGAATTTAAAATAGAATTAGAATTAGCCATTGGAGTCTAAAATAGAGTTGTAGTACTCTTAAATACCTACGCGTGGATATAAAGAACGTCAAAAACGGAGTTCGTATGCCAAAGTTATGACCTTCCGAAGATTCGCCTATCAGAAACCCTAATCTGACTGAACTCACGACGTGAACAAGGGTTTATTCACGATGTGAGGTGTCATTTGCTACATCTCGGAATCTAGAAGGTGTGTTGAGGCTACGAGGGGATAAGATCCAAACTCACAACGTGAGCAAGAATAACTCACGACATGAGGAGTCACATGGCTACCCTCCGAAGCTAAGGACACAAATGGCAAGTCTACGGGATAAGCATGCAAGACTCACCATGTGAGCCTTATGAAACTCACGACGTGAGTTTCTAAAATCGTTACTATAAATAGCAGGTCCGACTTCAGCCATTCTTACACCTAAACTTCTTCTCTTTCTCTCCTTTGATGAGGCCATCTTGCATCCCGAGCCCCGACGACCTCGTATCGCTGACAATTTCTGCTTCGATTACATAAAATCACGCTACTAGGGTGAGTTTCACGAACCCACTTTCTAATATTTTTGGGGGAAAACACATGCTATATATTGTATATACGTTACTATTAGGTCTATATGACGGTTTATTTGTATCAATACAGAATGTTATATTAATCAAGATATAGTTGTTCTAAATATAATATTTTGAATATATACAACGATGGTCAACTTGTTAGCATGCTATTGTTATAGAAATATATTAATGTAGATCTTGACTTATACTTAAGATTATATATATATATATATATATATATATATATATATATATATATATTGTGTGCGATATAGTTCCGAAGTTATATTCGGAAGTTCTATATGTTAGAAAGTATGTATGTTGTTATTTTTGGATTTATATCATTATAAAACTTGTTATGTTATACGTTATTGTTATTATTGGTTTTGTAACAAGATAAAACCTAGTTTTACTTCAAGTTATAACTGTTATACTGCCTAAATGTTATGAAGTTAGGAGTAATATTTAAAGGCAAAGTCTAGTAACTTAGGGTTTTAGACATGGAAATGCTTTTGTTGTTAGAGCTATAGGAAGTCGTCGAAGTCTACATGAGTAATTGTATTCATCAACTAAGATTGGGGATCTTAGTGGAAATCCTCTGAACGGTAACCGTTAATCCCGTGTGAGCGAGGAAGTCATGTATAATTAGTATACGGGTTGACAACCCCACTTGTGATTGTTAGCTACAGTCAACCATAAACAAGTGACGAACTATCTTTTTATTTGTTATTGTTCCGACGTCGATGAATCGTACGGTGTTGTTTCTCATGGAAATCATGAGTGTATTGTTTCTCATGGTAAATCATTAGTGTATTTTATCAGAGGTATTGTGTCATAGCAACGGTTACAGGCTCATGGTAGCAATTTGTTAGAAACATTATACTTTGTCGTATACAAGTATTAATGTTATGTATAAGTTTCCCCCTACTTATATACTCGAGGTTGAAAGAACGTTTAGGTATAACACTTATTTGATAAGTAGAATATTATACCTGAAATATATACGAAGTGTTGAAGAGTCAAAATGATACTTTCAAAATTATACTCTTGAACTTGGAAAATGTGTTATTTTTATATAGAGTCAAAACCTGTGGACTCACCAACTTTATGTTGATGTATTTTTAAATGTATGTGTTTTCAGGATCTTGAAAAGATGGTATGTATTCGAACAGGAGAAGTTTTACTATTATCTTTCTGTTCATTAAGAAGTATGCCATAGTCGGATATTATGTAATAGGTTCTAGAAAAACAGTTATGTAACTTTCAATTATCAATAAAGGTATGTATTTTCTTTAGTACTGTTCAATGTATGTTATATAACTGTGATACGAAGAATGACGTTGCACCACACTATGAATTATAATGGGATCCACTATGTGAATTTTCTTACTTATTCAGAACTATTGAAAATTTTATTTATTATATTATAAACATTATCATGATATATATTTTTTAATTAACTTACCACCATTGATGTATCAAAGAAATACCGATTTACTGTAGATTTTGATTTAAGCTTTTTCTTCGTAGTTCAAAATATTAGTCCAAACATCAATGACGTGTGCATGTACCCATAATCCTGGCTGCATTGTTTCAATCATTCCTCTTCCAAGCACATAACCTCTCTTAGTATGAAATACATTCTCACTTAATTTGTATTCAAATAAAACAAAAAAGCAGTTAATAGAAAATTAATTTGTAGTTATATTTATATACTAATGTATTTAAATAAAAGATAACATGAATTATTACTTGCTATTACCAATTCTGGAAAAAAACTCTATCTGATACATTTACTTCATCTGGATCTACAAATTTTGATGCACAAACATCTTTTCTATTATAAGGAGAAGATAGCTCCAGTGTTGGTTTATTTAATCTTTTTCCTACTTTTTTTTTGTCTTCATCATCTTCAATTCCCAAGATATTATTGTCACATTCTGTTTCTTCTGAATCATAACTTTCTCCTTCATCAAGTTTTTCATCTTTTATTTTTTTCTTCATGTGTTCATCTTCACTGCTTTCATCTCCTTCTTGAAACTCTTGTGTTAGACCAAGACCAAGTCCAAGTGAAAAACTAGGCATTGATGATTTTCTAGTATTTTTTTATCATCTATTATTTTTTTTTGGTCTCTAAAACTTTTTACATTTTCAAAATCATCATAATCATCAAAATTTAAAATACATTGAATAGAATCAGCAATCTCATGCACTATTGGATCATTGTACAAATTTCCTGGTGTTACCATGATTGGTTGATTCTTTATTTCATGTTCACTCAAATTCTCATTGTTTTTTTCTTCATCTTCATTCCTATCACTTTTTGCATCATCTTCATTTTGAGTTTTATAAATGAATTCTTGTTCAAAGACTTTCTTAATATCTTTCAACTCATCGCTTTTTATGAATTTTGTTGTTGAAAACTTAATTAACTTTCCAAACTTCATTTTATCATTCACTAGTTTTTTTGTAATTCTTTTTCGCTTTGAATACCAAGTCCTGCGAAATGAGATAAAAAATGTCAATAAAAATGATTTTTTTTTAAAACTTTTTTCTATAATAAATTATAGTTTCAGAATATGAATGCATTGATGAGGTATCACATTTTTAATGCATTTTAATAAATTACATATTGACTTTATGAATTTATTATAGAAGAAGTAATAAAATACACTTTTATATTCACAATGTGAATCACTTTAAGAATTTCATCTTAACTACAATTTTATAACATATATTTGTAATATAACTTCAATTTTTTTAATTATATAGATTATTAACTTACATCAAGTTTCATATCTTCATTTTCATCGGTATCGAATTCTTCATCATTCTCTTTAACATCATCATTCCATTCCGAAGTTCCAAAGTCACCACTCTTTAACTCAGCTTTTTCCCTTTTCACCATCATTTCATAATCTAAAAATGTAGTGCATGTATTTGTCTTTTTTCATTCTTATCATTTCTCATAAACTCCAAATAAGCTAGCTGTTTATGTAAACAAAATTATGATTAATTAGTTTTCTTATAACAATATAACTAAAAGTGTTAATTATAAGAATTTTCCTTACCAATAATACAAGAAGTGGCCCACAATACTAGTTTCCTCTATCGGTTTCATCCCACGTCATCTTTGACTTTTTCAAGCAATTGGTTATAAAACCACACCAATCAATTTCTCTCATAGGTGTTTTGCCTAACAAATGTGGCAATACAATTATCTTACAAGTTCCAAGCTTATTCTGTTCACATATGGTATTAACAAATAGTAATAAAAAGTTTGTTCTGAAAATAATCCCTGAATCTAATGATTCTTTACTTCTCTCTGCAACATCTGATGGTCTAATAGCCTTGAAATTGTACTGTTGCTTCCAATCCATTAATTATTTTCATTCACATTGATTAGTGTTATATATATATATATATATATATATATATATATATATATATATATATATATATATATATATATATATATATATATCTTTTCCACCTAGAGGAATTCCAAGCAAATCATGAACAGGTTCTAGTGTTATGTCGATCTTTGCATTAGGTAGATGAATTTTCATATCTAATGGATTGAATAAATTCACAACAAAATGCGCCAATTTCCCAGAAATTCCATTGGTTGCAATTCTCAGCAAAGATCCCAATCCCATTTCTCTAACAGCTTTTTTCTGTTCTTTGTTTAAAGATTTAACAATATCATAAAACTTCATTGGGCTCATTCTTGTTCTCAAAGATACTCTATCATTTGGATTTATTGGTACTTTGCCTTTTTTTCTTTGACTACTTCCGGAGTCTTTGTTTTTGTTTTTCTTTTTCCTGTTAGTCAATAATTTTCATAAGCTTCTTATAATATAACATATATACTATAAAATTACTAACAATACAAGAAATTCACATGTGAATTTGTTTTGCAAAGTATAATATAATACATAAAATAAACATGTGAATTTGTTTATAACTTTGTAAATTAAACATGTGAATAGTAATAAACAAACTTGTTACTTTTTCATCAAATTCTTTCTTTACAAGGCTATCATCAACTTTAATAGGAGTCACAAATTTTTTGTATTCAATCATTTTAAGTCTTGGACTCTGTCTGATTTCTGTTCATGTTTAAAAAAAATTAATAAGAATTAATTTTATAATATCAAATTCAATTATAATTTTATAAATACTAACCTTCAGTTGTTTTCTTTTCAGGTGTCTTGAAAATAGATTTGTCTTGCTTCATCGACTTTTTTGTTTTTGTTTTTTTGTAATCTTCGACTCTATCTGATTTCTATTCAATTTAAAAAAAATTTAAAGATAATTGATTTTATTTATTAAAGTAAATTATAATTTTACAAATACTAACCTTGTGTTGTTTTCTTTTCAAGTGTATTCAAAACATATTCATCTTGCTTCATTAATTTTTTTGTTTGCTCTTTTTTGAATCTCATCACCTTCTGAACTTTTTACTTTTTCAACATTTTCATCAATAGTCTTTTCATCTTCATTTTTTGTTAATTTATTAACTATTTCCACCACAGTTCTCCTTACTGTTTTTTTGGTATATTGTTTTGAACCTTCAACTACACAATGTGAAATTTTTAATATCAATGTCCAAATTAGTATTATGAAATACATGTCAAACAATATAAAATTGAACATGTGATGATCAAATTGCAAAAACTTTTTAGAAATTCACATTGCAAATCTGTTAGGCTATGAGCTATATCCAAGATTCACATTGTGAATTTATGCATTTAACAACAAAAGAGTTCGAGGTTCACCAAGTGATGTACACATACACATTGTGAATTTTTAAAATTATTTTTTGCATAGTGAATACAAACAAAGGTGTTGACCAACTTGAATTTTTTAAAGAGATTCACATTGTAAATCTGTGTGAATGTGAGACATACATCCAAGATTCACACTGTGAATTTATGCATTTAACAGTAAAATAGTTTGAGGTTCACCAAGTGATGTACACATACACATGGTAAATTTTTAAAATTATTTTGTGCATAGTGAATACAAACAAAAGTGTTGACCAACATGAATTTTTTTAAGAGATTCACATTGTAAATCTGTGTGAATGTGAGACATACATCCAAGATTCAAATTGTGAATTTATGCATTTAACAGCAAAAGAGTTTGAGGTTCACCAAGTGATGTACACATAGACATGGTGAATTTTTAAATTTATTTTGTGTATAGTGATTACAAACAAAAGTGTTTACCAAATTGAATTTTTTTAAGAGATTCACATTATGAATCTGTGTGAATGTGAGACATACATCCAAGATTCACATTTTGAATTTATGCATTTAACAGCAAAAGAGTTTGAGGTTCACCAAGTGATGTACACATACACATGGTGAATTTTTGCAATTATTTTGTGCATAGTGAATACAAACAAAAGTGTTAACCAAGTTGATTTTTTTTTTAAAAAGATTCACATTGTGAATTTGTGTGAATGTGAGACATACATCCAAGATTCACATTTTGAATTTATGCATTTAACAGCAAAAGAGTTTGAGGTTCACCAAGTGATGCACACATACACATGGTGAAGTTTTACAATTAATTTGTGCATAGTGAACACAAACAAAAGTGTTGACCAACTTGAATTTTTTTTAAAGAGATTCACATTGTGAATCTGTGTGAATGTGAGACATACATCCAAGATTCACATTTTGAATTTATGCATTTAACAACAAAAGAGTTTGAGGTTCACCAAGTGATGTACACATACACATGGTGAATTTTTGCAATTATTTTGTGCATAGTGAATACGAACAAAAGTGTTAACCAACTTGATTTTTTTTAAAAAAGATTCACATTGTGAATTTGTGTGAATGTGAGACATACATCCAAGATTCACATTGTGAATTTATGCATTTAACAGCAAAAGAGTTTGAGGTTCACCAAGTGATGCACACATACACATGGTGAAGTTTTACAATTATTTTGTGCATAGTGAACACAAACAAAAGTGTTGACCAACTTGAATTTTTTTTAAAGAGATTCACATTGTGAATGTGAGACATACATCCAAGATTCACATTGTGAATTATTTTTTTTAATAAATGTGTAGTATATGATTAGATAATTAGTTATTTTAATCTGAATGCGAATGTTCTAACCTTTTTTTTTATCTTGAATATCTTTAATTTTCTCACTTGTAGTTGAACGTAGAACATCTTTTAGATTTCTTGTCAATTTCATTATTTTCTTATTATCCTTTATTTTATTGATCTTTTCTTCATTTCCTATTTTTAATTAACAAATTAATTCAAACATCAATTTCATGGAATGAAACTTATGTTTTATTCATATATTTCACAATGTGAATCTGGATTACAAATGAATTTAACATAATATTTATTCACATTGTGAATTCAGTTTGAATCAAAACATTACCAATGCAACTCTTTATAAATTTACAATGAGACGCACAATAAGAGATATAATGTCAATTAAACATAGATGCACAATGTGAATTTCACAAGATGAAAAAATTAAATGTTTATGATAAATCACCCTGTGAATTTACAATTTGAATAAATGATATGTTAAATTTATATATGACCATGATTCACTTTGTGAATTGTCAAATAATGTAATTCTAAGAAACATTGAATCCTTTCAAATTAATCAAATGTAAATCACAAAGCGCACTATGAATTCAAAATGTGAAATTAGTTTTTCAGTCTAATGCATAAACTCATAAACCACTTAGATTCACAAAATTTTTAGGAAATTACGGTTTGTAATTTAGATATTGATGATTTATGTATCGATTTGAAGAAATTTATATCATTAGGTTTATGGTAATTATACAAATTCTCAAAAGTTCATGAAATAAGGGTTTCGATTTACTTAATAAACTCATATTCGAGTTAGATTCACAAAGTTTTAGGAAATTTCAGTTTGTAATATAGATATTCATGATTTCTGTATCAATTTCAAGAAATTTAAATCATTAGGTTTTCGTTATGTATAAAAATTATTAAAAGTTCATCATCCGAGGGTTTCAAATCAGTCTAAAATGATTTTGTTAATAAAATAGTTTATTCACAGATTCATCAAATACATAATGTATCAGATTGTTTAGATTTGTCGTTTTGAAATTTATCAATCGAAAAAAATATAATGTTGAAAATGCATTAAATGAGATAATCGGAAATGAATAACAGTAAAATACACCTTTTAGATTCATTTTGACGAACCTTTCGGGATAATTCACTGTGGATATTGACTAAATCGTCATCGGAGATCCGTTTGAATTCGATGTTCGTCGGTGAAGTAAAAGATCGTTTTCAATGAGAGGGTAAAACCGATTACACTGATAATTGAAATTGATGAATTAACGTCGTTAATTAACAGTGAGAGTTAATAAGTTTTAGGTTGATGAAAATGTCCCCTTAAGTTACGTGTTTGGTTATAATCAGCTGCACACTATTGTTTTTTATACTTTTACATCTCAAATCCAATGGTTGTTAATTTTTTGATCCAACCATCTTAATAGGTTCCTTGGTTTCTCCACCTATATTGGTACTCTATTGAACCCCTCCCTATATATATATATATATATATATATATATATATATATATATATATATATATATATAGTTCACACGATAAGAGAAAAATATGTAATGGTATATCGAGACGTTGAGTAAAAGTATAAACATATATGTAAACTAGGCAAATTCGAAATCCTTGTATTTAATATTTGTATATGTAAATATATAAAAGCATATGGAATAAGAGTATACTACATTCAAATCTTCCAAATAATTCTCGAAGTTACAAAAAGATCATGATAATTCTACATGGACCTTTGTATAATACCTAGTAATAACCCTACACCAAAACCACTGAAACGTCATCGGAACCATCGGACGACGCCTCTTCACTCTTTCTGGATCTGCTTATTCACCACCTTCTTCCGCCTCCCATCGTTAGAAACAACCTCCTGGCCTTTGTTCTTCTTGAACCGTCACCAACGCCGGTGACCTATTTTCACAATATGACAACGATTATAACAAATCAGACGATCAGGAGTATGACGAGGATGAAGAAAACGATGTTGAGTCAGATGAAGAAGAATGTTCTGATAATCAAGGTTTATTTCCTTGTTCTATCGGTAGATTGGTCTAATGGTAACTAATTGCAAAAACTATAATATTTTTGTTGATGGTTAAACTGTAGCACCAAGAATAATGCGACTAGTATCTGTTCTTGACTGCTAAATCATAATTCCCAATCCTTCCATTCCAGCAAAAGTGCTAACACTTCAATTATGCGTTACACATGTTCTTTACACTTTCAAAGTTGATATGGACTAATTGCTTATTGCATTACTTTTTATTCTAGGTAGGACAATATCTGTTTATTTGAACCTAATTTTTTGGATTATACACTTGGCAACATGATCAAATGCTGGTTTATATTAATTGCTATTGGCATTAACATTATGATATGAGAGTGAATTTTAGTGATATAACCAAAGAACACATCATTTAGGTCATGGGCATTTTGTTACTGACAAGACCTAGGTCTAATCATCTTGTTTGACATATCACTTCCATGTGAAGATATTATAGAAACTTAGCTTTCACAGCTTCAGTAATTGATAGTGTCATACCATAAAATATATTATCTACACGTAATACATTAGAATGGATTTGTGAACTTTTCGGCTAGTAAAGTTGATATTTGTAGAGTT